AAAAATCTTGCCTCCAAATATGACTGTCCAAATCCTTGTGGTTTTCGAGATATGACGTTTTTTGTGATTTTTAAAAAAATCAGAAAACTTATATTATTATTTTTTGCAAAATCTGAAATTCTGAACCCTGTAGTTGGATCCTGTCAGAGTACTCTCAAAGATTGCGAATCTTGCTTCCAAATATGACTGCTCAAATCTGTGTAGTTTTCGAGATATGACGTTTTTTGTGATTTTTTCAAAATTTTTCAGAAAACGTAAATTATTTTTTAAAAATCTGAAATTCCCAACCCTGTAGTTAGGCCCTGTCAGAGTACTCTCAAGGATTGCGAATCTTGCCTCCAAATATGACTGCGCAATTCTGTGTAGTTTTTGAGATGTGAAGTTTTTTGTGATTCTTTCATAATTTTCAGAAAGTTTAAACTAAATATTTTTCAAGATTTGAAATTCCCAACGCTATAGTTCGGTGTTATCAGTGTACTCTAAAAAGTTGCAAATCTTGACACATGCGACTGCTCAAGTGCTTTTAATTTCCGAGATGTGACGTTTTTTGTGATTCTTTCAAAATTTTCAGAAAGTTTAAATTAATTTTTTTTCAAGATTTGAAATTCCCAACGCTATAGTTTGGTGTTATCAGGGTACTCTAAAAAGTTGCAAATCTTGACACATGCGACTGCTCAAGTGCTTTTAGTTTCCGAGATGTGACGTTTTTTGTGATTCTTTCAAAATTTTCAGAAAGTTTAAATTAAATATTTTTCAAGATTTGAAATTCCCAACGCTATAGTTCGGTGTTATCAGTGTACTCTAAAAAATTGCAAATCTTGACACATGCGACTGCTCAAGTGCTTTTAGTTTCCGAGATGTGACGTTTTTTTTTTGATTTTTTCAAAATTTCTCAAAGAACTTATCTAAAAAAAGTTTCGAACAATTTGAAATTACCAACTCGATGAAGATACCTTATTGTCAGCGTACATCCTGGTGTCTCAAATCTTGCCTCTTAATATGAATGCTTAAATTCTTCTAGTTTCCGAGATAAGAAGTTTTTTTTTTCATTTTTTTAATGGAAACTTAGGCTTGAAAAAATCACAAATTTTTGAATTCCGAATCCTATAGTAGGGTGCTCTCAGGGACTCTCAGTGGTTGCAAATCTGGCCTCCAAATTTCTCCAGAGGCCCATTAAGTTTTCGAGATGACGCTTTTAAAATGGGAATTAAAAAGTTCGAAGTTACCAACCCTGTAATTGGGTGCAGTCAGAGTACACTATAGTTTGCAGATGTTGTTTCCAATATATGCGGTTTTTCATGAGTTGTCGAAAAATTTCGAAGCACCGGAGGTGCGTTAAACGCTGCTCCGATATTAAGGTCTCAATCGCAGGCTATTTCCATGCTTAAATAAAGAAAATTTTATGGATGTAGGAACAAATGATCGATTTTTGGAATCCTTTTTACTTTTAGGGCTACGCGTAAAGTCCATTTTTTGAACTTTTGAAAATTACGCATTTCCGTATCAGAACAATTTATGATGTAAAGTATTAGAACATTAGATTCAGCTTTCGCTGGGCCATTAGTTTACTTGCATGCTACCTTCGCGCAGATGCGAGGACGTTAGATTCCTAATCAACAAGTCGATATTCATATTCGGAACATTTCAATAATTTCTCCGGCGATTTTTTTTTCTGCATAACAATGGCAGTTTGATGGAAAATGTAGTTGCTTTATTGCTGGCTCAATAAAATTACAAGCAGTCGTGAAGCAGATGTGAAAACGTGATACTCCTAGTCTCAACAAAAAGTTTTTCAATGTGTTTTTTTAATCTTTTCCTTATTTCACATTGTTTTGCCTGTTTACAGCTTTTTGGTGCTTTTTGCTCGCGTGTGTTTGTTAAGTGCTGCTTCGCCTCTGTCTTAATATTTTCTCACTTAAAAAAAAAACGTTCTAGATTTATTTTTTTTTCATTGGATTTTTTTCGTTTTTCTTTCTTTCGTGAGAAATAAACTCTGCGCTTTAGTAGCTGGCTCTTTCTGAAAGATTAAGAGTCCGTTCAAGAAACGTTTTGAGTTTGATAAAAAAAGTAAGACCTTTTGATCAAAATCGGATATTTTCTCAAATGGCGATATCCTTTATAGCGCGATTGCCCGTTCCATGATATGAAAGTGGCAAATTTCATTGCAATGCTTTTTAAGTGTCAATGTAGGAGGTGTTAACTACGGCATTTTAACTACAAAATAATGGGGTTATGTAGTTACCCATGCGTTATTAACTTTGTTGTTGCAACGAGTAACTTGATTTTTTCCCGGGATCTGTTTTTTTTGCGAACTAGAAGTTTTCTACTTTTTCGGACTATCCTCGGTTTGTTTATTAATGTCGTCTGACTTTCATTTTTCAGCACGGACTCTTTTTTGAAAGATTAGCTTTCCTTTAAGTCTTTTATTTCCATTACTAAAGACTCATTGGAAGAGATAATTAAGTTAGAATTTTTTTGCGGAATTTTAGTTTTATTTTTGAATTTTAAAAAAAAATTTTAAAACACGAAAATGATTTATTTTTTGAATTTTTCCTTCGTCTTCTAATATGCAAGAAATTATTGCGCTTGGGACTTTTATGCTCGCGATTAGCACGCGTCATCAATTCGGAGTTTTTTTCGTGAGCAACTTGTCCAGCAAGGTAACCGAATCATTTTAACAAATCTTCACTTTCGTCAACCAACAGACATATTTTGAGCGTGTATCTGCGTTCCAAATAACCGTTTTTTACAAGGTGTGTTTTCAGTTTAGTTTCAAACTTCCCAACTCACAAGGTCTGTTTGTCGTTCATCTTTTTTTTTAACTTAATCAGCTAAGTGGCATCAAGCTTTTCTTTTTGAACCTAATCCGCTTAGCGGCATTAAATTGCGTCGTTGAATAAGCAAAACAAATTTCTTATGCGTGTGATTCTTTTGATGGGTTATTTTAAAATGTAATGAAAATTTGAAATGTTATTGAGAACAACTTTTTTGGGCGGGTTTTAGTTACTACAGGGTAGTTTCAGGGGGGACTCGAAATTTTAAGTTTTTTCTACAAAACGATTTTTTTTCGGCCCAACTGGTGTCTGCTCAAAGGTTGTCGGCCTTGTTTCCGCTTCGCTAGTTTTGTTCAGCTGCTAATTTGAATTTAAATTGACATTTTTTCCTGTCTGTTTGATGAAAATAGGTTTTATGAAATTGTATGGGATTGAGTTTTATATTCACTGTTTTTTGAGACGCTTTCGAAAATTTCTCAAAAACTCTTCCTCCGATTTTCTAAAAAGGGGTATCCATAGAAATATTGTGTGCTTGCATACTACCCTGGTTTTTTGCTTTACCTCTTTGTTCACAGCAGTCTCTCGAGAAAAGGCTAGCTTTTCTCGAGAGCTAGCCTGCCAAACCTGGCTTTACGGGCTCAATCGAAATTAAAGGCTGGGTGGGTTACCTCAGCATGAAAGGCTGCACCAAATTTCTTAAAACAAAAAGAGTGACTCTCGGGAATGTCAACTCTCTGATTTGTAGACCGTTTTTTGGACTTTTCTCGATTACTATCCTGCCAAATCTGATATCACAGGTTCAATCGGTAAAACAGGTTGTTGCAAGCTTTGCTTTTTTAAATGTGCTACGCCCAATTCTTTTTAGAGAAAATGTATTGTCTTCAAATCAGAGAAAGTTTTGAAACTGACCGTTTTTTGAGTTTTTTGCGTTACTCCAAAAGTTTCGTGCCGTTTCTCAAGTTAAGTGTTTAATCGAGAAACCCGATTGTGGTTAACATCTCTACTTTAGAGGGGACATGACCTGCTTTCAGCATAAACAATTACGGATTTCGGAAAGTCAAGTTTTTGATCTTTGACCGTTTCTTAGAAACTGTTTGAGTTCTTTTTTAAAGTACCCCATCAAGTCTGTGATGAAAAACTAATCGAAAGAAGTGTTTGTGCAATTTTTTCCGGCAAAGCGGCTACTCTTTAAATATTGTAAGAGGAACTTTGTTTCTCCGGGAAAAATCTTTAAAAAATTTCACTCTATTTGTTTTAGTAGACAAACAGCCAAAAATTGAAGGAAGAATAGCAATTTGAAGCCAGGTCAGGTCAAACACGTACCGTTTAGTCCTGCATCAGTATAGCAAATTCAAAAAATATCACACACGTACCTCCAGCTTTAGTTGGGCTCTAGGTGTCGTTCATAGAGACATACGAAACTTTCGGTTCACCTAGTTTTATACATTTTTGACATGTTTTTTTATGATTGTGTTTTATCGCAAGTTATGCGATGCTCCGCTTTGCCTCTGTGTCAGAAAACTATGAAAGCAAACTTTCTGCGTTTTGATTGCTCCAGAAAGTTTATTTCAAAAGCATTATTCAGTAAATTATAACAACGTTATTCTGGGTAGTATATTTCAACTTTGATTTCAAAAAGTTTGTCCTGACTTAATTTCAACTTTCCTAACTTTGTCTTTCGACAGAAACGTTTCAATTTCAAACTGCAATTAATTTCTGTGAAATAATTATATATACAACAATTTCATAGTGAAAGAAGTAAAATGGTCAATCGCATTTAGAGCGATATACCTTGGACTAATACTGAGGGAATAATTGTTTTTGCATTTTGAAAGGTTTTTGATGTTTAATGATTGAGTGTTTATACTTGTTGAATGATTTTTGATGCATTGATTGATGTGCTTGATTTTCAAATACAGCTGTTGAAATATAAACGCGCGGAAATGCGAAAAAATTGAACGAAAGTATGTGTTGAAGTATGCGAGTTGAAATTAAAAGTCAGGAATTAAGTTTGTTGAATTAAAAGCACGAAATAGTAGAATCCATGAAGCCATATCAAATTGGTCAGAAGGGTAGATTTGCATCACGTTGTCCATGACGTTTTTTTATGGTGCTTTTTTCGTTCAAATTTTTTCTGCATTTTTCAATTCTTGCCATTTCAGCACTCATTTTGGCCGCTTAGTGTAATTTCATAATTTCAAGTCATGCCTTCCTTTTTCAAGATGGAAATGAGTGCTTAGACTCTGATGAGCGGAAAAGGTTCTGACGTCGGACCTCTACCCACCCCTGAAAGAGCAGTGTACGGATTCGTACTCTTTGTGCTCACTATCGTCGCATTCATCCTCTACTGTCTCTGGGCATTTGTTCCTCTGGAGATACTGGACTCTTTGGGTCTATCTTACTGGCCTGCCAAACATTGGGCGCTCACTGGACCCTTGACGATACTAATTTCCTCATTTTTTGCTGTTTATGTAATTTACCCGATTATATGCATCAGGCAATGTGCAAATAAAGATAACGAGGAATCTCTTTACACGGATGGCTTTGCTGTCAGACACAAAGATTTGAACTCAGATGAACTTGAACTTAATCCCGTCTACGACTATGAAATTTCTCAGGTCAATAAACTACTCTACTCTTGCCAATTATAAAGTTTTAATTTCACAATCGACAAATGTGTTCGCTAATCTTGCTTTTGAGCAGTTGCTGCATTTGAATCTACCAAAAAGTGTACGATGTGTGTTGTTGTACCGAAATGACCCTTCTATTGTTATTGGCAAGTTTCAAAATCCATGGTCTGAAATTAACAAACCAAGGAGAGCGAAGGAACTTGGGATACCATTCGCTAGGCGTTGCAGTGGTGGAGGCACCGTGTTTCACGATCTCGGAAATGTGAACATATCATTTTTGGCTCCGCGTTCACAGCTGAACAAATCTAAAAACTTGATATTGATCACGCGTTTTCTGAAAGATGCTTACAATCGTGATGTTAGCATTAATGAACGGAGTGATCTAGTGTATGAGATGAAAAAGATCTCAGGTTCGGCTTGTCGTATTGAAAAGGAGCGATCAATACATCATTTTACGTTGCTTTTGAACTCTGATTTGACCTTGATTCGGCAGTTTTTGGGGAGTGAAAGAAAAGATTACACGATTCAAAGCACGGCAACGAAAAGTGTTCCTTCGCCTGTAAATAATTTGCTCGTGACAGATCAAGAAGTTAATTATGAAAATTTTTCTCAAAAGTTGGCGGACTATTTGTGTAGATATCTCGATTCGGATGTTACCACCAATCATTTCGCTCTTCTCGATCCTTTTGATTTTTCCGAAGTTCAACTATTTTCTAAAAGCCTTCAAAGTTGGGATTGGTTGTATGGCTTGACACCAAAGTTCAAGTTCCTATTTGAAGTTGAAAATTTTGAAAAAGGTGCGTCAATTGAATTGGAAATTGCTAAAAGTGTTATCAAAGGTGTTAGAGGAATTGAAAATGGCACTGCTTTGTCTGAAGATATAGGAAAGCAATTAATCGGAGCTCCATTTCTGCGAGATACCGTGTGCAAGCTGTTAGATGAAGCAGCTTCAAACTGTGAAAAGAGCCGAGAGTTGCAGTTTTTGAACTGTTTGAGAGCAGAAGTCAAACGTTTACCTATTTTTTGAAGTTTGAATGATTCTGAATATTAAGATAGAAATAGTTACACTTGCGATCAGCAAGCGTTATCCAATGGGAGCTTTGAGTTTTTAAAGTCAGGTTAACGACTTGTCTGACAGAATCAGTGGAGCTTTTAGTAGTTTGCTTTATCCCTTATCGATTCAACTTCTATGACCGTTGCTGTGCATTTGGTTCGGATGTCAATTTTTTCCGACCGATTTTGACTACCTCAAAAAAACGCGTAGTGGTTCGAACATTCTTTGAGACTTTTACAGCAAACTGCTATCCTTCAACTGTGCTAGGATGCCGTTCTGTTTTTTTTTTTAGAAAAATTTTCCCAAACTTGATTTTTAAGCTTCAGAGCAACCCAAATTTTTAACGTATTGCAACCCGGTGCTAGACTTTTTGCCCGTGGACTCATCTCCTTGCGATACCTTGATTAATGAAGAATTCAATTTTTTTATCGTCTCCGGCACACTTAGCCTGGAGGTAACGAATACGTCTGGGACGGCAAAGGTTATGGGTCTGAAACTGTCCAGGACATTTTTTTTTCAAACGGGAAATCGATCTATCTAATTATCTGTTTCTTTCTATCTATACATTATTTAATTGGCGTTTCAGTTGACACGTGCTTTAGATGTCCCCATGTTGACAGGTTTAACAAAATGCCAAAATAAAGCAACGTTTATGTTTTATTAAATTTAACGTGTTAAATTTCAATGTCATCTATTATTTTAACTATACATCTGTTGAAACGTCAATTGTTTAACAATTTTTTTCCTTTATTTGGCAATGCAAAATTTTTAAAGCTTCTTGATTCAGTGTTTTTTCGCTAAATTTAAATTCTCAACTCTTTGATGGTTTGCTATCAGGGTACACTCAGGGGTTGCAAATCTGGCCTCCAAATTTTACCGCTCAAATCCTTTTGGTTTCCTTCCGAGATATGGCGTTTTTTTTTATTGTTTGTTAGTTTTTTTTCTAAAAAAACTAAATTTAAAAAACGCTAACTGAGCTTGAAATTGTCAACCCATTGGTGGGTTGCCCTCAGGGTACACTATGGATTTGGAATTCTGTCTTCCAAGTTTGACTGCTCCATTTTTTTCAAGTTTTCGAGATATGCCGTTTTTTATGATTTTTTTTCGTCAAAAAGTTAAATTCGAAAAAAACTAACAGAAGTTTCAACTCTCAATTCTAAATCGGGTGCTCGCATAGTACACAATAGAGTTGCAATCCTGCCCTGAAAAAAAAAACATTTTGGTTATCGAGATAAAGCGTTTATTATGATTTTTTTTTAAAGTTTTTATTCCAAAAAAACTTGGATATGAAAAAAACTAAAACAACTTGAAATCTCGGCCTTTAAGTGGAGTGCCTTCAAAGTTCATTGTGGAGTTGCAATTCTGTCCTCCAAATGGGACTGCTCAAAATTTTTGGTTTTTGAGATATGGCGTTTTATGATTTTTTCAATTAGAATTGAAAAAAAAAATTCATCGAAATTGAAATTCTCAACCCTGTGGTGGAATTTTCTCAGCTCAGAGTTAAGTATGAAATTGAAATTTTAACCTCCGAATATGACTGGTCAAGTCGTTTTGGTTTTCGAGATACGGTGTTTTATGATTTTTTAAATATTATAGATTTGAAAAAACTATTAGAACTAAAAATTCTCAACCCTTTACTGGGGTGCTCTCAGAGTACACTCAGGATTAGCAATTTTGGTCTCCAAAGGTTACTGCTCAAATCCTGTTTTTTTGATCTTTTCATTTTTTCAATAAATTTAAATTGAAAAAAAAAAGAAAACTAACCGATCTTGAATTTCTCAACCTTATGCTGGGGTACTGTCAGGATACTTTCAAGAGTGATCCCTGGGTATAAACATGCCCTCTGACTTCAACTGCTCAAATCTTTTTGGTTTCCGAAATATGGCGTTTCCTATGATTATTATTTTTTTTTGTAAAAAAACCTCATTCAAGATTAATGAACTGAAATTGTTAACCCTTTGATGGGGTGCGGTCAGTATAGAATATGAATTTCAAATCTGAGCTCTAATTTTGTTTGCTCATTTGCTTTTCATTTTCGAAGCAAGGCGTTTTCTTAATGTTTTTTAGACTTAGATATAAAAAACTAACCAAACTTGAAACTCTCAACCCCATAGATACAAATTGGGGTTGCAATCTCAGGGTTTAATATGGGATTGCAATTCTGCACACGAATGTAACTGCTCAATTCTTTTTTTGGCCGCGAGATATTGCGGTTTTATGGTTTTATTTTTCAAATTTTTTCTCATTACCTTTTCGGTACCCTGGCAATCGGGTACTAGACTTTTTCCCCGTAAACGTTTTAGTTCCCAGGACTCTTCTAGACGCTTCTTCTTTAGTGGTACCTTGTTTCATAATGAATTCAAATTTAGCGTTCCCGGTCCACTTAACCTGGAGGTAACGAACACGCCTAAGACGGATAGATAGGTCCTGGGTTTGAATCTGACCAGGACCGGTTTTTTTTTTCAAACGGGAAATAGTCCGTTTCAAAAAAAAAGTCGTCGGCTTTTTATTGTCTGCTTATGTGTTGTAGGGTTAGTTGCCATATTGTTGATTTTTAAAAGTTTTTCATGCATATTACTTGCTGCTAGTGTTTTGATTTACCGCTGCTGTTTGTAATTTTTCTAGCCTTGACTTTGTATATATTTTTTTCGCCTAAAAAATTTATTATGCACAAATGAATTCGGCTTATTTTTATCGGCTTATAGTGAACTAACTTCGAGTCGTTCAAACGGAAACATGTTTTTGATGCTCACCTCTGCGCAAAATGCTAATAATCTTAAAAGAAATTATAGTTCAAGTTTTTCATGACAATTTTTCTTAAGCATTTTTGTTTTTCTTTTTTTTCGGCTTGATAGCTTTCGGGCTATTTTCTATCGGTTTATTGGCCTCATATTGCGTCTTTTGACGAGCGAAAAACGTTTTGGTGAGCGTGTTTGTGTTTTGAGGGCGAGGGGTATTTAATAGCTTCTTATTCTTGATGTTTTTTGAATTTTCTTCGGCTTTTCCCCTTTTTTGGGCTTAGTAGGTTTCGACCTATATAATTCGGCTTAGCGGCCGCACATTGTTTCCTATGTCGAGCTATTAAAGTTTTTCGATTGTTTAGTTGTTTTGAGGGCTAAGGGCTTATTAAATTTTCATAAGTCTTAAGTCTTGTTGATTTTTAATCGGCTTAAAGGCTTCTGACAAGGTATTTTCTGCTTAGTTTCTGGTGGGTCTATAATCTTTCGATGCTTCTTTCACATTCTGTTGTTTTGGCATGCTTTTGTTTCAAAACGAGCCTTTTTTATTTTAATAGTTTTAGTTTGTTCGACATTTCCGACTTTTTAAAAAAAAATTTTCTTGTGTTGTATCACAAGTGGTGCGAACCTTAGCTTCACTTGTGTAAACCGTGGAGTTAAAAAGAATGAAGAGATTTTGAAGATCTCCACCTTGTGATGGGTGCTATCAGGGTACACTCAGGAGTTCCAGTTGTGACCTCCAAACAAAAAACATAAAAATGTCAAGTCTATGATGGGCTGCTATCAAGGTGATTTGAGGAAATGCACTGTTGGAGTCCAAATTTTATTGCTCATTCTTTTTTTTGGTTTTCGAGATATGGTTTTTTTTTCTTCATTTTTTAAACTCTTGATAAAAAACTTAACCGAACTTGAAACTCAACTTTATGGATACAAAATGGGGCTCCAATTGAATGTGTTATCTGTGATTGCAATTCCGCCCCTCAAATGCAACTGCTCAATTCTTTTTGATTTTCGAGACATTTTTTTTTAAAATTTTTTTATCGAAAATCTTAGATATAAAACAAACTAACCGAACTTGAAACTCCCAACCCTTTGTTGGGCTGCTATCAGGGTACACTCAGGTGTTGCAACTCTGGTCTTCAAATTTTATTGCTCAACTTATTTTGGTTTTCGAGATATTGGCTTTTCGATGATTTTTTTTATATTTAAAAAAAACTATTTAAAAAACTAACAGAAGAGTGCTTTCTTAAAGAGTGGTTATTTAAAGAGTGCTTTATTCCCTCCAAATTTGGTTGCTCAATATCTTTTTGGTCATAGTGATATGTCGTTTTCTTATAGATTTTCATTTTTTTTTCTGCGAAAAAAACTTTGATTTGAAAAAAACTAACTGAAGTTCAGTGATTGAAAGTTTAGCTGCCAAATTTGTCTGATTAAAAATTGAGGCGTTTTTTTTAAACAGATTTTACAAATCACTAAAACTTGATTTTTTCAACCAGGTATTGTGGTGCTGTCGGGGAACTCCATGAGCTGCACGTTCGGCTTCTAATTAAACTTATCAAATTAACTTTCCGATATATGATTTTTTTGTAAACTAAGTTTTTTTTTCAATAACATTCTGATTGATGGCAGGAATTTTGAACTGTATGAAAATATATGAAGGGAGTATGTGTATGGTGTCGGCTTAAGGTCTTTTTTTGAGAGTAAGTTCAACAAATCTGGTAAAACTCAAAAGTTCTGGAAACGATCACTTGGGTGAAAAATAACTTAATAAGAATAAGTAAATTGTTCAATTAATGAAATAGAACACCTTGATTGAAGTTTTCTTTGAGTCAGTCAAATTTATTTTGGAAAAACTAATACTACGCCATAGTTTTTTTTCCATTCGTTCTCAGTGACCTCTTCGGATCAATTCTCATCTATATAAGCCGTCCGGTTATTTTTGTTCCAACCATTGAAAATGGGGAGAAACTTAGTATTCGAGTCTCTTTTAGTTTTTTTCTGTTTTGCGCGCAAAGTTAGGTAACAGAAATAATCATCGGACTGGGTTGAGTTATATACCATATTAAAGCACTTACAGTCGTTATTCGAACCACATCAAAAAAAAATTTAAAAATTTTTCTGTCGAGAAAAACCGGAAATTTTTCATTTTAGTCTTATTTCGTGCGAATAAAGCAAGCGAGCATTCGTATTTTAATTACTCAAAATCTTACAATAGCTTAATTTCAAACCTGAAAATTTAATTTTAATTGAGGGACGTTAATTTACTTTGAGTATTTTAGCGGTTTTTTGGAATCAAAATTTTCAATAATTCAAAAATTTGCAAAACTTGGATTTTTTTTGTATTTTTCGTTTTTCAAGTGATTTTTCTACAAAATAGTTTTTTTTATTTGCTTATGTTACTATGACTGTCGAATATACCTAATCGCCAGTTTTTTGTCAGCTCCTTTTATCACACCACGCCGAAAAAAAACGACAATAATTTGAAAAAAAAACTTGTTTTTTTTTAAGACCATGGTCGGAACATTCTGTGCTACTTTCACAGTAACCGGCTATCCTTGTTCTAATATATATATTTATTTTCGTTCCAGAACCCAGGCATGAAAAAGAACCAATCGATACCGCAGCAGACACAGAATCATTTTAAACGGAAGGGTAGTGAGTTCCATGGCATCTACCACGAGAAACAGTCAAAAGAGCTATGTGCTCTTCATGCTCTCAACAACCTCTTCCAGTGCAGCTCCTTCGCGAAGCCAGAACTAGACCAAATATGCCAGAGGCTCGCTAATCAGGTACGTCGTTAATGCTGGCACGAAAGAAGTGTGCATTACCGACTTTATATTTTCGTTTTAAAGGTGCAATCAAAAAGAGGGAGATAAAAAATGAAACCTAAAAAAACTCATTTATGAAACTGAAAGTAACAGAATAAGAAGCTAGTGACGATCGACTGAAGATAACTTTTTTGAATTACGAGTGCGGATATTATGTTTGTACAGGAATCAGTGTCTGCGTCTAGTGGTCCCCTGACAGTAAACCCTCACAAGAGTGTGTTGGGCACGGGGAATTATGACGTGAATGTGCTCATGACAGCCCTGAATAAGAGAGACATGGAGGCAGTGTGGTGGGACAAACGCAAGTCGCTCAACTCCATAAACTACTCAAAAGTATGATAAGTTGCAGTTTTCTTATTGTCGTTGTATTTCGACTAACTGGACAGTTTTTGGCAATAATGTTAAAACATCCGAGCTCTCCCTAAGCCCATACTAAGACCCTTTTCTGAAAATTTATTGCACAAAACTTTTTGAAAAAATTTGGAAAATTTTTATTGCCAAGAAAGCGCTAAATGAAGCTTCCAAAACTGGTTTTCAATCTAGTGAGTTTAAACTTTCATAGCCTGAATGGACGTTTTCATCTAGTGAACGTTACTCTACTCTATCACTTTACTCGCTCGAAATTAGACTAATGGTCAAAAATTTCCAACCAGTTTTTCTCGATACCGGGACAACTTTTTGACAATTTTTCAATGTCGTTCAAATGCAAATCAAAGGGCTTCAATATGATATATCATTGGACCCATTGCAATGTTTGTTCGTGGTACCTGATTTTGCGTGGAAAGCAGAAAAAACTAAAACATACACGAAGACAAAGTTCCTCTTCAATATTCAATGGTCGGAACAGTCTTTTGGATGAATTTTATCGCCCTTTCTGATATAAGGGATGAAATATTTGATTTTGACATAGAGCTTGTTGATTTATTCTTAGGTGTATGGCTTTATCCTCAACGTAGACTCATGGATGTCATGGGGTGTAGTGACCATCCCCATCAAGAGAAAACACTGGATAGCAGTCAGACAAATCAACGGCATGTTTGTAAACCTAGACTCCAAGCTGAAACAGCCCGAAGTTATCGGCCAGACAGACGGCTCTGTGAGGACATTTTTAGCCGGACAGCTGGACTCAAAGCAGGCCGAGATGCTTTTGGTAGTCGACAAAACGACATATGACAAAAGAGAGTGGGAACTCCAAGATTGATCTTGAACTTTCCCCAGTTTAAATGACACCAGAAAAGAACTATCTATAGAAGTAACAAACATGCAATAAAAAGTCGGATAAAGAGGAGTGACAAAACAAATCAGATCGACGAAATGTTCCTGGCAAACCATATCATTGTCCTAGAAAGTAGTCTCGCAAATACTTTCAAGATTTATGTTGTCTTTGTTGCTCTGAGCTCCTTTTTGTACACTGAAAACTAAATTGATTCACTACACACAGATGCATATGTTGAAGATATCGAGGAACGGAACCAGTCTACATTACATCATAATTATTTCACCCTTTTCAAAAGTTAAATCTTGGTTAAGTTCTGATGTAGTTTAAATTATTATGCAGTTAGCTTTGACACTTAATTTAGATATTATTTTGCTATAATTTTTTTGAAAGCTGTAAAGCCTAGAATGAGTAGACTTCTTCTGGTCTTTATTTTTATCTGAATCATGCAACCATCATCTTCGCCAACACGGGAGAATCTACATTTTTAGGGATGCTTGTGAGGGTCATTGAAAAAGGACCAAAGTAATGTGTTTTGTCTTAAAAAGTTTTCAAGAAGTCTTCTCAGTGTCAAAAAATCTGGCTTCAATTATTGTTTCTCATTCAATTTCCTGAATGATCCTGGAAGCGAAGATCCTGAATGCTTGGAAGAGATTAGTTCGATCGACGAAAACAATCTGAAGAAAATAAGCACCGAGCATAAATAGGCCTTCTTCATAGTTTCTGGTTTCAAGTTGGTCCGGCTTATTTCGTTGAAAAAAACAAGAAATGCATTTTCAAAATCAGTATCACTGGAAGAAAAAAATGACGCAAAATATATAAAAAGAAGAAATTGATCCGTTTTAGTGACTAATATCATATTTTACCATAAAAAATCACATTTAAAAAGAAAACAACCAGAGTTCTATCTGAAAACGTTTTTTTTTGCTATGATGACTGTGATCGGATTATTCTGTGTCACTTGCCCAGCATCCAGCTACTCGTGTTTTCTATTTGATTCTGATTGAATTGTTCTTTTTCGATATTTTTGCGCCATTTTTACTTCATCCAGTGATGCTGTTCTTGAAAACGGATTTCTCATTTTTTTTCTGCGTAATAAAACGGACCAACTTGAAGCCAGAATTTAAATAGAAGGCACATTTATGCTCGGTTCTTATTTTCTTGAGATTGTTTTTGTCGATCAAACTAATCTTTTTTTACCATTATAAATACATCCTTGAGCTTGAATCAAAATTATATCGTTTGAAAAACAATTTGAACTTGTTTTTTTTGGAAGCGAAATCTCGACTGAAAAGGCATTATTGTGATACATCTCTTCTACTGTACAAGCTTCCTTGAAGCGATCAAAATTGAGTCAGCGACCTGAATAGGAAATGAAAATAAACTAACCTCAGTGGTCAGATTTTATCTAGCTGTCAATAAAAGTTATAGAAATTCGTTTTTGGAATCTGAATCACCGCTGAACAGTAAAAATCACTTTTCAGCCGGAATTTCAATTTCAAAAATAGATTTTTATAAGTTAAGTTGACGGTGAGATAAGAAATTTGAACTCTACTAATGAGTTTAGATAAATTTTCCATAAGGAAAATAATAAACATCGTTTAATAAGCTTTCTCACAGCTGGAAAGAAACCAAAGAAGGTTGATAGCTGCCTGTGAATAAGTATCTTCAAGTTAGTTAGTAAGTTATTCTTTTTTCTAGTTTCAAAAATTTTATATGAAACATACAAAGAATATGCTGTCGAACATTTTTTCCGATGTGCGCAGCGATTGTGTTCTAGGTGCAAAGAATTGACGTCGAGTCGCAAGAAAGCTTCGCTCACTATAATAACTCAGTCAGGCATGGAGAGAAAAAAATAATAACGGTTTCTGGCAGGACAGGCTGGGTAGCCTTCGATAGATCCTCTGCATTTTGCAGAAACTAATGATTTTCATCTTCGTATGGAATCGTTCGAGTTGATAATATCGCTCGACGCTATACGAAGTTCATTATAATTTTGTTTTCCGCAATCCGCAGAGTATCTTTTGAAGGCTATCCAGCCAGTCTAAGATATTCTTTTTCTTTTTATTCTTTTTCTTTTTTTCATTTCTTCCTTTTTCCGAATCAAAATTTTAAATTTTCATCCAGATATTTCACCTTTTTTGCAGCCAAAATTGGGCAAGCTGTGTTGGTTTTTGTTCCGACTATTGAAAATGGGGAGAATACAAACTTTGTATTCGTATGGGTGTGTCAGTCTTTTCTTTTTTTTCCACGCAAAATCAGGTATCTTAAATAATCATCGGAATGAGTAGAGTGATATATCTTATTGAAGCCCTTTCAATCGTGATTTGAACATTTAAAAACTTTGAAACAAATTCAGTGTTAGGAAAATCTCTTTTGAAAATTTTGATTTTCCGTCTATTTTTGAGTGAGTATGGCGATGAAAATTACCAATTTAGGCTAAAAAATTGATGATTTTACGAAAAGAAAATATAGATGTGGAAGCCTTATTCAGCGTTTCTCTGGCAAAAAAATGCTTCGAAAATCTTGTTGCCTAATTTCGAGCGAGTAAAGCAAGTGAGTAGGCTAATTATAGAAAAATAGGCCATTTAGTTTAACTCCAGTAAAATTATTTACTCCAGTAAAACTATAAACTTTTGTTTAACTCCAGTAAAATTATTTTTCGAAAGTTTTTAGTGCTATCTTGGGAATAAAGAGCTTAAATAAATTCCAAAAAAGTTCTGCAAAAAAAATGAAAGTGTTTTTTTTCTTGCATGTTTTGGACTATAACTATTGTCCGATTTACCTTTTTTCCTGTATTTGTCGAATTTGCCTAATATCTATGTTTTTTTTCTGATCTTTTTATCTCACGACTCACAAACATCAACACAAATATATTTAAAAAAAACTTTTTTTATGAGAAAGGTCGGAACATTCTGCTAGTTGCACAGCAACCGGCTATCCTTGATTTTTTTTGATGTATTGGTTCTGCAGGCAGGGTTCAAGTGAGAGTTCCGTCCTGACACGCGATCATTTTCATCGAATAGACGATCTCTATGTGAACGCCTTACCGCTATGCTATGTGCCTCGTTGCCCTTACTGGATTGCTTCAATTTATTAGCTTCTTTTTTGTTCTTGCCAACCGTTTACAAATATTGGCGTGCTACTTTAATCTTTTAATGGCGCTACTTTTTTAGAAGCAACGGATCGTTGACTCTCGTCAGACGAAAAAATAGCTCGAAGTGAAATCATTGTAAATGGAACTTTGCTGGGCTTAAATCATTAACATTGTTTATACTTATCCTGATGACTAGACAAATTTGACAGTTAATCAAACTGTCTAAGCTTCTGTTTATGTACATGTAAAAGTTTCCATGTATTTTTGAATTTTTGGTGGTTTTTCGGGTTTTGAATTTAGAACCAAATTCACTGAAAAGTACAAAGTATGTGTTTTATATAACCGGCGAGCGTATTGTTAGGTCTGGAGTTTTAGGCTTTTGTCTGGAGTTAGGGTTTATTCTGGAATGGTGGAGTTCTGAAAAGTTAAGAAAATAGGCGGGTTAACCGCGGACCGACTGCAGTTCAATATGGTTTCTAAAAGTGTTTCAGCTGCACACACAGAAGTCCGTATCACTAAAGATTCACCAGATAGGACAGCTTCGATAGAAAGACCTTCATGAATTTTTCTTGCAAGAAAAAAAGATTAAGACCCTCAGCACGCCTGGAAGGCATTGTTATTTTTGGCTCTTAGATTTGAGCAAGTTGTCTTACCATGGTGAAAATTATTCATAAAATTGGTTGCAAATGCAATTTTATTGTTCAAGTTTGACAGAAGTTGAACTTGTATTTATGTCATGTTTCTATATTCGCAGTTGTGATTAAGAATCGATTTTTTTCTTTTATCTCTATTGGGACACGTGTTTTCAGAATGATCATAATTTTACATGATCTGTGTAATATCACATTTTGCCATAGAATCCACTACATTCGCAGCGGAAAATTTTTATTGAGCAATTTGAAATTATTTATGAATGCGATTTTCCCAATAACAGCGATTGTTTCAAAGAGTGAGTTATTCAGAGAGTGGGTCAAACATTGATTTGGTTAGTCAGCAAATAGATTATATGTTAAGGAAAGTGCTGAATACAGTTTTTGTTTTGAATTTTTTTCTGGCGCGTTAAAATAAGATTTGTCAGATACTATTTGTTAACTTGAACTGTATCAGGCATAAGTTATATTGAATAGATTGATTGAGAAAACGCGGGTTATTGCAGAAAGCAAAAAGAGAAAAAGTATGTGAAATGGGATTTGTACTTCTGAAATTTTTCTTGTCATTGAGTTGCATTCGATTCTCATGCTTGCAAACCGTTTTTGCTGAAAAAACTTGCCTCAATTTTTTTGCGAGCATTTCAATTACAAAACTTTCTATGCTTTCTCAGATCAGGTGAGTTTTACCAGCAAATTTTAATAATCGTTTTCTCAAATTGAATCGTTTCAAGGGGTTGTAATCTAAGAAATTGAAAAAAATCGGTTGGCGATTTTTTATTACCTTGTTCAGTAACTTTTTTTGAGCGTTGAGAATGCTTTCAAAAACGCTATCAAATTATTATATGAATTGCAACTTTCGCCGGTTTGGCAGACTACTTGTATTTCTGCATATTTGTTTTACGGAATGACTGGTTGCAGCCTGTAGCAATCTGAAAGGATCAATAGTGAATGTCTGCCAGAATTTATTAATACTCAGTTCGATAATCGATTTCTGTCTCGAGGCGGTCAAACTTGTCTGTTCACCTCGCTTTTCTGGTCATTGACTTCTTGACACAACTCGTGATAACAACTCGTGCATTAGTCTCAATTTGGCTGATCCCATTCATGTATTTTAAATTTTAATCTACGGCTTATTGATCCATTTGTAAGGTATCCCATTTATTGGTCTCTGATCTTCTAAGTAGTTCAAGGTGTCTTAGATCCGTACTTGAAAGTTAATGTGAATCGATCGCTAATTATTCGCATAATCGGTGCAGGACTTGGTTTTTATGAAAATTCAACCGTTAGTAAAGAGTTGAATACTAATAGAAGTGCAGTGCTAATCCAAGGATTATTACTTGAAGCCTAATTTCTTAACTAGCATTCATTAATTCGAAATTGGCATAAAGAAGCCTGAGCTAACAAAATATTTTCTAAGAAAATCTAGAGTTTCAGAGGTACCTTGTCACTTTGCTGATTGACGTACTGTAGACTGGATGTTTGGTGTTTTTATCAGCGGGAATATTAGTTTTCCGACTGATTGTTTCGATAAAGGCAGCGAAAGAAAATAGCAGGCAACCGAGATTTTTCGCAACTGTCTGCCAAACTGTCTTTCAAATGATCAAGACCACAGTTTTTAATTCAATCGAGTTTTT